TAAATAAATAAATGCAATCTGGTAATGGAACATAGGAATGGAACAATGGACGACGAACCTGGACTACGCTTGGATGATGAGAAGATTGGGTATGGTTGTTTTTTGTAATAATTGTGCATTGTAATTGCTTATTGGTAATTTATGGATAATGTGTTAAGTCAATTGTTATATGTTGTATGGAACCACTGCTGTTTCTACTGTTTTTACTGTTTGTGAACCGCTGTGAGTCGCCTTCGGGCTTGAGATACAGCGGTATATAAGCAAAGTAAATAAATAAATAAATATGAAAACCAAACAGATAAATATATTAAAAATAAATAAATAGTATAGAAATATGATTAAAGGCATAAAAAAATTAAAAATACCATATTGCATAAAAACAGCGCAAATAAATTATAAATAAATAAATAAATAAAATATGTTCTGTAAAAAACACACACATATAGAAGTATTATAAATAAATAACACATGTTTTATATAAATAAATAAAATATTATTAAAATATGATATTGTCTAAAATAATATAAATGTCGTAAATTAGTTGAATTAGCATTCTAGGAATGTCTGCCTGCCCCATCCCTCTCTGAAAGCTCTATCCTAATTCATATTCATCTGTTCATGCTCAGCATTTTCTTTAAATTTTAATTATTACATTTGGCCCAGCCATAGGTTTTAATTGTCGTTGTGTTATTGTTAATGTTTATTGCTTTTTTGTTATGAGTTTTATTTTATTGCTTTGTATTATTTGTTGTTATTGCTTTATTATTGATGTATTGTGGGCTTGGCCTCATGTAAGCCGCACTGAGTCCCTGTGAGATGGTAGCGGGCTATAAATAAAGTATTATTATTATTATTATTATTATTATTATTATTATTAGCCTCCCTGCATAAAATGGTAACTAAATTTCCTACTGGACAAATGCAAATGTCTTTTGGGCTGCATAGGTCAACAGTAAGCTAGACTATTAATGGTTGGGAGCTCACTCCGACCATTAATAGTCGGAGTGATAAATGAAGACTTACTTACTTAGGCGATCCCTCGTTGGACGAGTAAGATGGTCTTCCAGTGTTCCTGTGGGTCCGTATGTGGCTGTGGAGCCCTATTCTTGCTCTGCATCTTCTTCCGCAGTGAGGGCATTGGTTTCCAGGTGGAAGGCGGTCCCGGTTGGGGTTGGCTTGACGCGCCTTCTCCTGGCACGTTTCTCTCTTTCACCCTCCACTCGTGCCTCCTCAAATTCTGCAGCACTGCTGGTCACAGCTGACCTCCAGCTGGAGCGCTCAAGGGCCAGGGCTTCCCAGTTCTCAGTGTCTATGCCAGAGATTTTAAGGTTGGCTTTGAGGCCATCTTTAAATCTCTTTTCCTGTCCACCAACGTTCCGTTTTCCGTTCTTAAGTTCAGAGTAGAGCAACTGCTTTGGGAGACGGTGGTCAGGCATCCGGACAACGTGGCCGGCCCAGCGGAGTTGATGTTGGAGGACCATCGCTTCAATGCTGGTGGTCCTTTGCTTCTTCCAGCACACTGACGTTTGTCCGCTTGTCTTCCCAGGAGATTTGCAGGATTTTCCGGAGGCAGCGCTGATGGAATCGTTCCAGGAGCTGCATGTGACGTCTGTAGACAGTCCACGTCTCACAGGCATAGAGCAGGGTTGGGAGGACAATAGCTTTATAGACAAGCACCTTGGTCCCCCTACGGATGTCCCGGTCCTCAAACACTCTCTGCTTCATTCTGGAAAATGCTGCACTCGCAGAGCTCAGGCGGTGTTGTATTTCGGTGTCGATGTTGACTTTGGTGGAGAGGTGGCTGCCAAGGTTGCGGAAATGGTCAACATTTTCTAATGTTACACCATTAAGCTGTATTCTGGCATTGGAGAGGGATTGGCTAGCGACTGCTGGAACAGCACCTTGGTTTTCTCAATGTTCAATGACAGGCCGAGCTTCTCGTATGCTTCTGCGAAGGTGTTTAGAGTGGCTTGTAGATCTTCTTCTGAATGCGCACAGACGACATTGTCATCAGCATACTGGAGTTCTATAACAGCTGTGTTGTAACCTTGGTTTTGGCTTTCAGTCTGCTGAGGTTGAATAGCTTGCCATCTGTCCGATGGATTATTTCCACAATGATTTCCACTCCCATCAACAAGGTGAAGTATCATAGCAATGAAGATGGAGAATAAAGTTGGGGCAATAACACATCCCTGTTTGACAGCCTGATTCCACCTTAAATGGGTCACTTTGGGAGCCATTGCTGTCCAAGACTGTTGCCATCATGTCATCATGGAGGAGCCGCAGGATGTTCACAAATTTGTTTGGGCACCCGATTTTGTGGAGGATGGTCCAGAGAGCGCTGCGATTCACTGTGTCGAATGCCTTTGCAAGGTCGATGAATGCCATGTACAGAGGTTGATTTTGTTCTCTGCATTTTTCTTGGAGCTGTCTTGCAGTGAAGATCATGTCCACGGTTCCTCTGGAGGGGCGGAAGCCATTCTGGGATTCTGGGAGGGTGTCTTCTGAGAGGGGCAGAAGGCGGTTTGCAAGGATTCTTGCGAGGATTTTCCCAGCGGAGGTTAGAAGGGAGATACCTCGATAGTTTCCGCAGTCTGTTCTTTCCCCTTTTTTGAAGAGGGTGATGATGGTGGCGTCCTTGAAATCTGCTGGGATTTTCTCGGTCACCCACACTTTTTCTATGAGCTGGTGGAGTTGGTGTGTCAGCTCAGGTCCTCCCTCTTTAAAGATTTCAGCAGGGATCCATCTGGTCCACTGGCTTTGTTATTCTTCTGTTGGCTGATGGCATTGCTGACTTCTTCCAAACTAGGCAGTGCTGCAAGCTCATCCCTGGTTTGTTGTTGCGGGATTTGTGAGAGGACCTCTTCGGCCACATTGGAGCTGCGGTTCAGGAGGCTTTGGTAGTGTTCTTTCCAACGTAGTGCAATTGAGTTTTGGTCCTTCAGGAGTTTGGTTCCATCTGATGAGCCTAGAGGCTGTATGCCATGGTTTCTTGGTCCATAGATGACCTTTGTGGCTTTGAAAAATCCCTGAGCATCATGGGTATCTGCCAGGTGTTGGATTTCTTCAGCCTTCTTTGTCCACCAGATGTTCTTGAGTTCTCTTGTCCTTCTTTGGACCTCAGCTTTTGCACTGGCATATATCTTTTTCTTAGCAGCACAGTTGATGTCTCTCTGCCATGCTTGGAAGGCTTTCCTTTTCTTGTCAATTAGCTGTTGGATCTCGATGTCATTTTCATCAAACCAGTCTTGATGTTTCTTGGCTTGGTATCCAATAGTTTCTTCGCAGGCTTGGATGATGGAGGTCTTCAGTTTGTTCCAATGTTCCTCAACATTTTCGGGGTGTACTGTGGGTAGATGGTCCTTGAGTGCTGTTTGGAGATGGGCTCGTCTGGAGGGCTCCTGAAGGGCTTGGGTGTTCATTTTGCGCCTTGTCTTCCTTCCTTGGAGTCTGCGCTTGGGAGCGATCTTGATAGCCATCGAGGATCGAATTAGCCTGTGGTCAGTCCAGCAGTCGTCAGCACCTGTCATGGCTCTTGTGAGGAGCACGTCACGGCGGTCTCTGGCGCGTGTGATTACATAGTCTAAGAGGTGCCAATGCTTTGACCGGGGGTGCTTCCATGATGTCTTGAACTTGTTTTTCTGGCGGAAGAGCGTGTTGGTGATGACAAGGTTGTGCTCCGCACATTTGGTGAGAAGCAGGATGCCATTTGAGTTGCTGTTTCCAACCCCGTCTTTTCCGATGGTCCTGGCCACAGGTCGAAGTCTCGCCCGACTCTTGCATTGAAGTCCCCCAGGAGGATGATTTTGTCCTCCTTAGGTATCCCCGATAGGACGGTGTCCAGCTGACAGTAGAATTTCTCCTTGATGTCTTCGTCAGCATCTAGTGTTGGTGCATAGGCACTTATGATGGTTGCCCGTTGGTTTTTGGCAAGATCGATTCGGAGGGTTGAGAGTCGTTCGTTGATGCCAGTGGGTGCTTCGGACAGATGTTTCATCAGATCATTTCTGATGGCAAAGCCAACTCCGTGCATTCTTTGGTCTTTTTCGGGCAGTCCCTTCCAGAAGAAGGTGTAGCCTCCTTTTTCTTCCTTCAGCTGTCCCTCTCCTGCTCTCCGGGTCTCCTGAAGGGCTGCTATGTCGATGTTGAAGCGTCCCAGCTCCCTTGCAATGATGGCAGTTCTGCGTTCGGGGCGTTCACTGCCACTGTTGTCCATCAGAGTCCGTACGTTCCACGTACCGAAGTTTATTTTTCTTTTTTGGCCGCAGGGTGGTGACCTGGACGCAGCAGTCCAGTCAGGGATAAGAGAGGCAGACTATGTTTAGGGCACCTTTTCTAGCCCCCTCCCCGTGTGGGGTGAGCAGAGTGGATCCTCAAAAGAGCTGCTCAGTCATGGATACAGCTGCCGAACTACTCAACTGCCTCGGACCTTGAGGTAGAACGACTGAGTCCGTATCCACCGCCCATGTGCCAGTCTGTGACTAGGGGCTTCCAGATTTCACAGTCCTGCCCCCGTCGCCACTCGCTGATCGCCATGGGACTTTGGTTGCTTGGTTTTTATTTTCTTTGGAAGACGCCTGTGCGTGGGTTTTTTTAATGTGTGGAGGTCAGTGCACAACTGATCAGCACACAGACTTCACAGAGTGAGGTTCCACTGGTGATGTAGTTTAACACAATGACCGTGGCTTCTCAGTCTGTTGCAGCCTTCTTCCGCCTTCGCAGCCGTTGTAACATGTGCCATGTTATCCTCCGCCTGCTCCGCCGTTGAGGTCTTTGGGTCTTCGGACTGTGCTTGGTCTGGAACCTCCCCCGCAGCCACTCCTGGGAGTGCACGACTCCAGTTGTTGTGCCTACAGGTTCATCGGAACGCGCAAGCCCCCTCACTCCGACCATTAATAGTCGGAGTGATAAATGAAGAACTGCTAAGAGAATGCATTTAAAAAAGGAATCAGTCAATACTTTTCTTGATGCCATCAGTACAATGAAATGAGCAATAATAATTCAAGATGAAATCAGCTTTATTTTGAATGGAGATTTACAACTAGAACAATATTTATTGAGAAGCACCAGAAAAAAAGGATCATTCTGTTTAGGAGGGCGTGATGTTTTCAAACAATTTTTTTTATTGGTTTCCTTTCTAGTCGAGAGGTAGACAAAACATACTAAAAACATCTTTTTGGGAGGTCTTCTCGCCTTGATTTTCTTTCTCCTTTTAGAAACAACAAGGAGAGACCAACAACATATTGTCTGCAAAAGCAGACTGGACCATAACCCAAATAAATGTGGGTTGTGGCTCGTGTTGAAGATCATTAGCTGTTCGATTCAGGATCATTGTGTCTTCATGAGGTCCCCAAACAAATGTGTCCTCCAGTTGTATTTACAGTACAAAACCATGGAAATTTCAAAATACACCCAGCATTTGGTAAAGTGTTCAGAAATAGTTTCTATCTTTGTTCAAAGTTCTGAAAGTTGGTATCTCCTTACGGTCCCGTCTCGGCAGCAGGAATAGATCTGCTTCTCCCAGGTGGCCACCTAAGGAAATAATAATGTGAAGTCACACCACAGTGAAAATGGATGTCACATCCACAACTAATTGTACAAGAGCAAAGGGAAGACAATCCTACAAGAGAGGAGATTCCATCTGAACATGAGGAAGAACTTCCTGACTGTGAGAGCCGTTCAGCAGTGGAACTCTCTGCTCTGGAGTGTGGTGGAGGCTCCTTCTTGGAAGCTTTTAAACAGAGGCTGGATGGCCATCTGTCAGGGGTGATTTGAGTGCAATGTTCCTGCTTCTTGGCAGAATGGGGTTGGATTGGACGGCCCATGAGGTCTCTTCCAACTCTTTGATTCTATGATTCTAAGGGACCCCCAAAGGCCATCTAGTCCCACCCCTTTTATTCTGCCAGGCAGGAAGACTCAATCCAAGCCCCCCCGACAGATGGCAATCAAGCTATAACATGCGTTGTTGTAGGTTTTTTTGGGCTATATGGCCATGGTCTAGAGGCATTCTCTCCTGACGTTTCGCCTTCATCTATGGCAAGCATCCTCAGAGGTAGTGAGGTCTGTTGGAACTAGGAAAAAGGGTTTATATATCTGTGGAAGACCAGGGTGGGACAAAGGACTCTTGTCTGCTGGAGCTAGGTGGGAATATTTCAACTGATCACCTTGATTAATATATAATGGCCTGACAAGGTATGGAGAACAAGCCCTATGAGGAGCGGCTTAAGGAGCTGGGCATGTTTAGCCTGAAGAAGAGAAGGCTGAGAGGAGATATGATAGCCATGTATAAATATGTGAGAGGAAGCCATGGGGAGGAGGGAGCAAGCTTGTTTTCTGCTTCCCTGGAGACTAAAGGGTCTAGAGAACAAGCCCTATGAGGAGCGGTTTAAGGAGCTGGGCATGTTTAGCCTGAAGAAGGCTGAGAGGAGACATGATAGCCATGTATAAATATGTGAGAGGAAGCCACAGGGAGGAGGGAGCAAGCTTGTTTTCTGCTTCCCTGACGACTAGGACTCAATGGAACAATGGCTTCAAACTTCAAGAGAGGAGATTCCATCTGAACATGAGGAAGAACTTCCTGACTGTGAGAGCCGTTCAGCAGTGGAACTCTCTGCCCCGGAGTGTGGTGGAGGCTCCTTCTTTGGAAGCTTTTAAACAGAGGCTGGATGGCCATCTGTCAGGGGTGATTTGAGTGCAATAGTCCTGCTTCTTGGCAGGGGGTTGGACTGGATGGCCCATGAGGTCTCTTCCAACTCTTTGATTCTATGATTCTATGACAGCTTGAGCAAACTTTTGTTGTCAGACTACACAGAGAAGCCATTGAAATCCACAAGCATGTTTACAATTTCAACAGAAAGGAGGAAACAATGAAAATGAACAAAATCTGGCTTCCAGTATTAAAAAATCTCTAAAATTACAACAGAGAGGAAACAATCAAGGACATCGAATTCAAAGACATTTACAGCTGCAGTCTACCACACTTCGAGGAAATCAATTCCAGCTCTCACAGTAGAAAGTTTTCCTTGTGTTTAGAAGATTAGGAGTTCAGAGTTGATGTGAAAAACTGGAAAAATCTTAAGATGGTTATTTTAAAAAAGGTATTAAAAACATCAAAATAAAAATAAAATAAAGGTATCATGGCACATCTAACATGGGTTACCTTATATACAGGGTCACAATCTGGTCCAGTGAGTTCAACAATATGATCGAGGTCTTGCTGCATGATAAAACAGGTCCCGTCCCCTGGAAACAGAGATAGAATGTGATAAAAATCAACAACTGTGATTTATTTTCAAAGTTGTGACACATGATAGAATGTCTATATTATATATTTCCCATTCAGCATTGCCTCAGGGTGCATCTACACTGCAGAATCAATACGGTTTTTGTTACAGTAAATTGTAGCAGAATCAAGTGTGTGTTAAAGAAAAACTGTATGATGTTATTTATTATGTGCAGCTGGTAATGTAGGTCAGCCAGCATGTTTGGGCCATACCCGGTGGGGTATAACTGTATGGATTTTAGAATACAGTTTGGAGAAGCATTATGCTACTCTGTTCCTTTTTCCTCTTGCCTGTGTGTCTTTTGCATGTGCAGCTGGTAATGTAGGTTAGCCAGCATGTTTGGGCCACACTCGGTGGGGTATAACTGTATGGATTTTAGAATACAGTTTGGAGAAGCATTATGCTACTCTGTTCCTTTTTCCTCTTGCCTGTGTGTCTTTTGCATGTGCAGCTGGTAATGTAGGTTAGCCAGCATGTTTGGGCCACACTCGGTGGGGTATAACTGTATGGATTTTAGAATACAGTTTGGAGAAGCAATATGCTGTAATGCTGCTATGCTCAACAGCGATGCTTTTTGCTATGGTGGAATAGCTATTTACTCAAGGTTTATGTTTTGCTCTCATTTGAATGAAGATGAAGAAGTCTTATTCTGTGTTACAGCTGGAAATGTAGGTCAGCCAGCATGTTTGGGCCACATCCGGTGGGGTAGAACTATATGGATTTTAGAACACAGTTTGGAGAAGAAATATGCTACTCTGTTCCTTTTTTCTCTTGCCTGTATGTCTTTTGCATGGGACTTGGCTAAAATTCACTTCTGCTCAACAGTTTTGACACCATTTTATTTATTTATTTATTTACAGTATTTATATTCCGCCTTTCTTACCCCGCAGAGGACAGGGCGGATTACAATGCACATATACATGGCAAACATTCAATGCCATAGACGCACCACATATATAGACACATGCACAGAGGTTATTTAACATTCTGGCTTCATGAGGGTATGCTCCGAATTCTGGTCACTAGGGTAGCTGTCGCTTCACCGTCCACTTCTGACACCGATGGAGTACTTCCTCACTCTTTTGAACACTACTGGAGATTTTTATGGAGTTGTAAATAAGTTAAATTAGCCTCCCCGCATGAAGCGGCACCTAATTTTCCTACTTGACAGATGCAACTGTCTTTCAGGCTGCAAAGGTCGACAGCAAGCTAGACAAATGGTCGGGAGCTTACTCCGACCCGGGCTGACTTTGAACTCATGACCTTTTGGTCAGTAGAGATTTTTTAAAAAAATAAATTTGTATTATGTTTACACCAAAGTAAAAGAATAGATACACAAAGAAAAGAAAACATGGAAAGTAGGAGAACATTTAGTTTCCAGGAAAGTAGGGGGGGGGGGGGGGGGGGGGGGGTGAAGAGAAAGACAAATCTAGCTGGAGAAAAAAGTAAATAAAGTAAAAATATGTTAATTGATATCCATCCTGTGCATTCGCTCTTATTCTTTGTAAAATTATTTACAAAAATTATTTACAAAAATTAAAAATATTCATATTTAACATTATTACTATGATCTTCTTACTCTATAAATGCAAAGACACAGAATGGGGGACAATGCCTGGCTCGAGAGTACGTGTGAAAAAGGTCTTGGAGTCCTCTTGGACAGCAAGTTAAACATGAGCCAGGAATGTGATGTGGAGGCAAAAAAGCCAATGGGATTTTGGCCTGCATCAATAGGAGCATAGTGTCTAGATCTAGGGAAGTAATGCTACCCCTCTATTCTGCTTTGGTTAGACCACACCTGGAATATTGTGTCCAATTCTGGGCACCACAATTGAAGAGAGATATTGACAAGCTGGAATGTGTCCAGAGGAGGGCGACTAAAATGATCAAGGGTCTGGAGAACAAGCCCTAGGAGGAGCGGCTTAAGGAGCTGGGCATGTTTAGCCTGAAGAAGAGAAGGCTGAGAGGAGATATGATAGCCATGTATAAATATGTGAGAGGAAGCCACAGGGAGGAGGGAGCAAGCTTGTTTTCTGCTTCCTGGAGACTAGGACGCAATGGAACAATGGCTTCAAACTACAAGAGAGGAGATTCCATCTGAACATGAGGAAGAACTTCCTGACTGTGAGAGCCGTTCAGCAGTGGAACTCTCTGCCCCGGATGTGGTGGAGGCTCCTTCTTTGGAAGCTTTTAAAGCAGAGGCTGGATGGCCATCTGTCAGGGGTGATTTGAATGCAATATTCCTGCTTCTTGGCAGAATGGGGTTGGACTGGATGGCCCAGGAGGTCTCTTCCAACTCTTTGATTCTATGATTCTATGAAATCCCTGTACTATATATATATTATATATATATAAAAGAGAGAGAAGGAGAGAACAAATTACATGGTCAGTGTAATGCATCTGACTCCCAACGAGCTGTGCCATAGCCCAGTCACATTGAGCCATTGCTGCCATGGCTCGATGTGATGGAATCCAGGGGATTGGGAGTCTATTGAGGTTTCAGCACTTTATCAAAGAAGGCTAAAGTCCTTGTGAAACTATAAGTCCCATGGCCCTGTAGCAGTTCAAGTGGGGTTAATCTGCATTATTTCTCCAGTGTAGATGCATCCTTGGGAGTATCCCAGTCAAAGTAGAAGCAGACCTGGAAGCAATTAACAACAACATGAAAAGGAACGCTACCTTGGCTGGCAATGAATCCATCTTTGTAAGGCATCAGGGAGAGGACAGGGGCCCCCGACCGACGAATAATTCGAACTGGAGCCCTAGGAACAGCAGCAAGGAAAGAACGTGAATCAAAAAAGGGACCACCATGTCAGACTACACAGAGAAGCCATTGAAATCCATAAGCATGTGGACAATTTCAACAGAAAGGAAGAAACCATGAAAATGAACAAAATCTGGCTACCAGTATTAAAAAACTCAAAAATTACAACAGCAAAACAACAGAGAGGAAACAATCAGGCACATCAAATCACCTCTCAACAAAAGATTCCCCCCAGGCACTTCCAAGCCATTAAATGCTAATCAAGGTGGTCAGTTGAAACATTCACACCTAGCTCCAGCAGACAAGAGTCCTTTGTCCCACCCTGGTCATTCCACAGATATATAAACCCATTTTCCTACTTCCAACAGACCTCACTACCTCTGAGGATGCTTGCCATAGATGCAGGCGAAACGTCAGCAGAAAATGCTTCTAGCACATGGCCATATAGCCCGGAAAAACCTACAACAACCCAAGGGACATGTTGATCAGTATTCTATTTCAATATATACTCACTGGGGACAGAACTCTCGTCTAAAAAACTCACAGCAACCCAGTGATTCCAGCCATGAAAGTTTTTTATAACTTGGGAACTACCTGTATTTTAAATTGCATTGTTTTTTTTAATGTTGTGAGTTGCTTTGCATCTCAACCGAGAGATAAAAATGGGATGATTATTAATTTATTGTGTCAGGAGCCAACCAAACAGTTGTATTGCATTTTTTGACAAACAAATAAACAAACAAAACACAAAGTTTGCAAGTTGATTAAATGTCCTTTGACCAGTATCTGGCCACTTGGAGTGCCTCAAGAAGGTCCTCCATTGTGCATGTGGCAGGGCTCAGGTTGCATTGCAGCAGGTGGTCAGTGGTTTGCTCTTCTCCACACTCGCATGTCGAGGATTCCACTTTGTAGCTCCATTTCTGAAGGTTGGCTCTGCATCTCGTGGTGCCAGAGCGCAGTCTGTTCAGCGCCTTCCAAGTCGCCCAGTCCTCTGTGTGCCCAGGGGGAGTCTCTCATTTGGTATCAGCCATTGGTTGAGGTTCTGGGTTTGAGCCTGCTACTTTTGGACTCTCGCTTGCTGAGGTGTTCCAGCGAGTGTCTCTGTAGATCTTAGAAAACTATTTCTTGATTTAAGTCGTTGACGTGCTGGCTGATACCCAAACAGGGGATGAGCTGGAGATGTCTCTGCCTTGGTCCTTTCACTATTGGCTGCTACTTCCCGGCGGATGTCAGGTGGTGCAATTCCGGCTAGACAGTGTAGTTTCTCCAGTGGTGTCAGGCGCAGACACCCTGTGATAATGTGGCATGTCTTATTAAGAGCCACATCCGCTGTTTTAGTGTGGTGAGATGTGTTCCACACTGGGCATGCATACTCAGCAGCAGAGTAGCATAGCAAGGGCAGATGTCTTCACTGTGTCTGGTTGTGATCCCCAGGTTGTGCCAGTCAGCTTTCTTATGATATTGTTTCTAGCACCCACTTTTTGCTTGATGTTCAGGCAGTGCTTCTTGTAGGTCAGAGCACGGTCCAGAGTGACTCCCAGGTATTTGGGTGCGCTGCAATGCTCCAGTGGGATTCTTTCCCAGGTAATCATCCTCAGAACTCGGGATGCTTGTCTGTTCTTGAGATGAAAAGCACATGTTTTAGATGGGTTGGGGATCAGCTGGTTTTCCCTGTAAGAGCACCTAGAGCTTCGGAGTGCTTCTGTTCTACCATCTCAAAGCTCCCTCCTTGAGTAGTGATGGCACGATCATCAGCATAGATGAAACTCTCTGTCCCTTCTGGCAGTGGCTGGTCATTTGTGTAGATGTTGAACATGGATGGAGCAAGCACGCTCCCCTGAGGCAGGCCGTTCTTCTGTTTCTGCCATCTCCTTCTCTGGCCCTGGAACTCAACAAAAAAGCTCCTGTTTTGTAGCAGGTTTCCTATGAGGCGGTGAGGTGGTCGTCCTTTGTGATATTATACATTTTTCTCAGGAGGAGGCGGTGGTTCACAGTATCATAGGCTGCTGACAGGTCTATGAAGACAGCTCCTGTGATCTGCTGCCTTTCAAAGCCATCTTCTATGTGTAGGGCGCAGACACCCCGTGATAATGCGGCATGTCTCATTAAGAGCCATATCCACTGTTTTAGCTTGGTGAGATGTGTTCCACACTGGGCATGCATACTCAGCAGCAGAGTACCATAGCGCAAGGGCAGATGTCTTCACTGTATCTGCTTGTGATCCCCAGGTTGTGCCAGTCAGCTTTCGTATGATATTGTTTCTAGCACCCACTTTTTGCTTGATGTTCAGGCAGTGCTTCTTGTAGGTAAGAGCACGGTCCAGAGTGACTCCCAGGTGTTTGGGTGTGCTGCAGAGCAAGCAGCAATTGTTCTGCTTGGGTGATGCAACAGCCATGTCCAAATCCTACTCACCTGGTATTTCTCACATCCAGTTGGTATATATTTCCATCTTGAGTCCCTCCCAGGAAGTAGATGCCAGAGAGGAACATGCAGCAGTTGAATGCATCAGAGCCAATGAAAAGAAAAACCTAAGGAAGAAGCAAATTGGAAAATAAGTTACAGCAGGCATGAGCAAACTTGGGCCCTCCCTCCAGGTATGTAGGACTTCAACTCCCACAATTCCTCACAGCCAGTAGGAATTATGTTAAGCTGCTTACAGTCTACTCCAGGAGAGATAAAACAGGGTATAAATATAAATACGAGGGTTGAATGAAAAGTAATGCCTCCACCTTCGTAACTCCTCAACAGATGGCAGTACTGGTATGCGGCAGGTACTGGCTTGTTCAGTAGACTCTCCTCTACAGTTCAGCTTTGACGCAAAGGCTTAGCATTGAGCGGTTGTGTTGTTAAAAGTGTGAAGTATGGAACCCTGCGCAGACGGTTGATCAATGTGACTTAAACAATGAAAAGTAATGCCTCCACCTTCGCAACTCCTCAACAGATGGCAGTACTGGTATGCGGCAGGTACTGGCTTGTTCAGTGGATTCTCCTCTACAGTTCAGCTTTGACGCGAAGCCTTAGCATTGAGCGGTTGTGTTGTTAAAAGTTAGAAGTATGGAACCCTGCGCAGATGTTCGATGTACTCTTTAATGAAAAGTAATGCCTCCACCTTCGTAACTCCTCAACAGATGGCAGTACTGGTATGCAGCAGGTACTGGCTTGTTCAGTAGACTCTCCTCTACAGTTCCATTTTGATGGGAAGCTTTAGCATTGAACGGTTGTGTTGTTAAAGTGTGAAGTATGGAACCCTGCGCAGACGGTCGATCAATGTGACTTAAGCAATGAAAAGTAATGCCTCCATCTTTGTAACTCCTCAATAGATGGCAGTACTGGTATGCGGCAGGTACTGGCTTGTTCAGTAGACTCTCCTCTACAGTTCAGCTTTGACGGGAAGCCTTAGCATTGAACGGTTGTGTTGTTAAAGTGTGAAGTATGGAACCCTGCGCAGACAGTCAATCAATGCGACTTAAGCAATGTGCAGTCATTGAATTTTTGACAGCCCAAAGGAGATTCATCAGAGAATGTAAGCTGTTTATGTTGATTGTTTTGATGTGAGTACTGTCCGTCGTTGGGCAAGAAAGTTTAAAGATGTTGAAGTGGGATCATCTGACTTGCGTGACAAACAAAGAGTTGGACGTCCTGTGACAGCAACCACTGAGTTTCACAAGCAAAAGGTTGACAGATTGATTCAGGACGTTCGTAGTATCTCTGAGAGAGAAATATTAAGCACAATCGACATTTCACAAGAACGTGTGGGTCACATTATTGCTTTGCTTCGCTATCGGAAGATCTGTGCACGATGGCAGGGACGAGAGACAGGGCCTTCTCAGTGGTGGCCCCTCGGCTGTGGAACGCCCTGCCTGCAGATATCAGATTGGCCCCCTCCCTGCTGGCATTTCGGAGGAAAGTGAAGACCTGGCTTTTCGAACAAGTGTAATTGAACATAGGAATACGGAATAATGGATAACGAGACTGGATTCTGATTTTACTGTTGAGGCGCTAATGATTGTTATACTGATGTTAATGAGTTATGTTATAATTGTTTTTAATTGCCCTATACTTGTTTTGTGATGTTTTGTATTGATGTTGTTCACCGCTTTGAGTCGCCTGAGGGCTGAGAAAAGCGGTATAGAAATAAATAAATAAGTAAATAAATAAATTGGTTGCGGAAACAGAGTGTCGACTCAGAGTGTCAACTTCTTCCTGTGACGGCTTAAGAAAACTTGTTCATTGGCAGAAATGTATCCAATTGTCTGGTGATTATGTGGAAAAGTGAATAGTGGTAGTTAAAGAGCACATTCTAAGGATTATTTCTGCATTTGATTTGTTAAAATATTCCCATCCAAACCCAAGTAACGAAGGTGGAGGCATTACTTTTCATTCAACCCTCGTAGTAGTATAACTCTGTAACTTTTTCCTGCTTGTGATCCCACCAGTTCTTTGTCGTATTTATGGTGCAATAACAATAATAATAATAATAATAATAATAATAATAATAATAATTATTATTATTATTATTATTATTATTTTGCCACAAATATGACAAAGAACTGGTGGGATCACAAGCCGGAAAAAGTTACAGAGAATGAACACGTCAAACTCCTCTGGGACTTCCGAATTCAGACAGACAGTGTTCTGGAAAAACCAAAGTATGGATTGTCGATGTCGCAATCCCAGGTGAGAGCAGGATTGAAGAGAAACAACTGGAAAAGCTGACACGATATGAGGATTCAAAGATCGAACTGCAAAGACTCTGGCACAAGTAAGTCAAGGGGGTCCCAATGGTGATCGGCACACTGGGTGCAGTGCCTCAAGACCTTGGCCTGCACTTAAACACAATCGGTGCTGACAAAATTACCATCTGCCAGCTGCAGAGGGCCATCTTACTGGGATCTGCACGCAATATTCGCCGATACATCACACAGTCCGAGACACTTGGGAAGTGTCCGACGTGTGAACCAATACAACAGCCAGTGATCTTGTTTACTATGTACTAATCCTGTTATGTTTCTAATAATAATAATAATAATAATAATAATAATAATAATAATAATAATAGCAGCAGCAGCAACAACAACAGGAAAAGCTTATACAATATGAGGATTTAAAGATTGAATTGCAAATCCAATACAACAGCCAGCAAAGTGATCTTGTCTGCTGTGGATTCATCTTGTTGTGTTTCAAATAATAATAATAATAATTAGCACCAACAAAATTGGTCCCACAGAGGTTTACCAGAAAGCTCTGAGCTGCTTTGTGAAAAAGTTCTGTACATCTTCTTAGCTTCCATTTAGGTAAATGCGATTCCAATACAAGGTTCAAGTAAACAAATAAAATCTAACCGGTTGCCTGCTTTGCAATCCCACGCCTTGAAGCTTTTTGTCTTCTCGGGCCAGAAGCAAGAGTTTCCCTTCGGTCCCAACTTCGCGCTCACCTGGGTTGGAAAGAAACACTGTTAGGCTCACAACAGACAGGTAGACTGCAGTTAATGCATATGATGTGTGTTGGGCAAGTTAACAAAAGACCCTATCCATAAATGTACAGAAGAGTAACTTATTAGTGGCAGTGTGACCCAGGACAAGTAGTCCAAAGTGATGAAAAGAACAAAAACACACAGACCAATGTTATCTCTTCCACAGAAGACATTTCTTTGTAATAAAATATTATGGTAGCAGTATTTACAACAAGAAGGTTTCCATAACACAAATAAACAAATACATAATATTGTCGAAGGCTTTCATGGCCAGAATCACTGGGTTGTTGTAGGTTTTTCCAGGCTATATGGCCATGTTCTAGAGGCATTTCTCCTGACGTTTCGCCTGCATCTATGGCAAGCATCCTCAGAGGTAGTGAGGTCTGTTGGAATTAGGACAATGGGTTTATATATCTGTGGAATGGCTTCCTGGACCATCTTAACAGCATCCACCCAAAAATCCAATTCACAATGGAAAAAGAAAATGAAGGAAGACTGCCTTTTCTAGATGTCCTAGTCATCCGCAAACCAGATCAACAATTGGGTCACACCGTCTACAGAAAACCCACACACACAGATAGATATCTACATAAAAACTCCAACCATCACCCAAGTCAAAAAAGAAGCACCATTAAAGCCTTGGCAGACCGTGCAAAAAGAATCTGCGAACCCCACCTCCTCCAAGATGGACTGAACCACCTCAACTGGGCTCTCCAGGCCAATGGAGACTCCACCTCAGACATCAGAAGAGCTGCAAGACGACCGAGAAGAAGCCACGAGAGTAATGATGAAGATCCACCCAGAGGAAAAGTGTTCCTGCCATACATCAAGAGAACCACTGACCACAGAGGGAAGCTGATGAGGAAACACAACATACAAACTATCTACAGACCCACCAAGAAAATCCAACAAATGCTCCGTTCAGCAAAGGACAAGAGGGATCCTCACCTCTGCAGGAGTCTACCGTATACCATGCAGCTGTGGACAAGTCTACATAGGGACCACCAAACACAGCATTGCCCAAACACGAATCAAGGAACATTGTGTGCATGTGGCAGGGCTCAGGTTGCATTGCAGCAGGTGGTCAGTGGTTTGCTCTTCTCCACACTCGCATGTCGTGGATTCCACTTTGTAGCCCCATTTCTTGAGGTTGGCTCTGCATCTCGTGGTGCCAGAGCGCAGTCTGTTCAGCGCCTTCCAAGTCGCCCAGTCTTCTGTGTGCCCAGGGGGGAGTCTCTCATCTGGTATCAGCCATTGGTTGAGGTTCTGGGTTTGAGCCTGCCACTTTTGGACTCTCGCTTGCTGAGGTGTTCCAGCGAGTGTCTCTGTAGATCTTAGAAAACTATTTCTAGATTTAAGTTGTTACATGCTGGCTGATACCCAAACAGAGGATGAGCTGGAGATGTCTCTGCCTTGGTCCTTTCACTATTGGCTGCTACTTCAGAGGAGAGCGACTAAAATGACAAAAGGTCTGGAGAACAAGCCCTATGAGGAGCGGCTTAAGGAGCTGGGCATGTTTAGCCTGAAGAAGAGAAGGCTGAGAGGAGATATGATAGCCATGTATAAATATGTGAGAGGAAGCCACAGGGAGGAGGGAGCAAGCTTGTTTTCTGCTTCCTTGGAGACTAGGACGCGGAACAATGGCTTCATACTACAAGAGAGGAGATTCCATCTGAACATGAGGAAGAACTTCCTGACTGTGAGAGCCGTTCAGCAGTGGAACTCTCTGCCCCGGAGTGTGGTGGAGGCTCCTTCTTTGGAAGCTTTTAAACAGAGGCTGGATGGCCATCTGTCAGGGGTGATTTGAATGCAATATTCCTGCTTCTTGGCAGAATGGGGTTGGACTGGATGGCACATGAGGTCTCTTCCAACTCTTTGATTCTATGATTCTATGTTGTTGGTGCCATACCGGCTAAGCAGTGTAATTTCTCCAGTGGTGTGGGGCGCAGACACCCCGTGATAATGCGGCATGTCTCATTAAGAGCCACATCCACTGTTTTAGTGTGGTGGAATGTGTTCCACACTGGGCATGCGTACTCAGCAGCAGAGTAGCACAGCGCAAGGGCAGATAGTTAATTCTCCAGGTAGTGAATTCCAGAGTAGGGGAGCCACCAAGGAAAAAGCTCTCTCCCTTGTGCTCACAAGGCGAACTTGTGAGACCGGCAGGGGCGAAAGAAGGGCCTCCCCAGAGGATTGGAGGGCCCGAGATGGCACATGGAGGGAGATACGGTTACAAAGGTAGGTGGGTCCCAAACCGTTTGGGGCTTTGTAGGTGAGCACCTGCACCTTGAATTGGGACCGGACAATAAACGGCAGCCAATGGAACTCCTTAAACAGGAGGTTTGACCTCTCCCTGTAAGGAGCACCAGTTATTAATCTGGCTGCCGAACGTTGGACAAGTTGTAATTTCTGGGCCGTCTTCAAGGGTAGCCCCACGTAGAGAGCATTACAGTAATCCAGTCTAGAGGTAACTAGGGCATGGACCACCATGGTCAAGTCAGACTTCATGAGTTGGCACATAAGTTTAAATTGTGCAAAGGCCCTCCCGGCCATCGCCGACACCTGCATTTGCACCACTTACTTGGTGGTTGTTCAGGTGAGCCCAGGTTCAAGGTGTTGTCGGCGTCATTCACGGCAATTCCATTTACTGGGGCGCCACAATTCACCACAACGCCTAGGCAGGCTGACTTCCCACAGTCCCAGAGGCGGGCAGTGCCGTCCCGAGAGCCGGAGACCACATTCCTCCCACGGTCGATAACGGCCAAGTCGAGGATTCCTGCAACACAGAGGAAGGATGAGCAGCAGGGAAAGAAACAGACCCCATCTACACTGCAATATAATATAGTTTGAACTGTGTTAACTAGGCATGCGACAACTTAGGCCCTCCAGGTGTTTTGGACTTCAACTCCCACAATTCCTAACAGCCTACCAACTGTTAGGAATTGTGGGAGTTGTAGTCCAAAACACCTGTAGGGCTCAAATTGGCTCATGTCACTTCTATAGTCTTCACTTGCCAGCCACCCAACTGCATTTCTATCCACTGTGACCTTTCTGTACCTGCTTTGTGGCCTTGAAACGTCGCAGCGCACTTGCCATCTTCCGCTGACCAGATCTTGAGCCGGGCGTCCATCCCTCCGCTCAGGACCACAAGGCCCGATGGGAAAAACCTGCAGCAGTTCACGTCGTACACGTGGCCTTCCAAACACCTCTGGAACGACACAGAATGGGTTGCTAGTGACACAGGACATGATCGCATCAATGTTGGGGCATGCGTTTCTGAGAATTTAACAACACACATTCATTCTCATCCCTGGAGACTAGGACACGGAACAATGGCTTCAAACTACAAGAGAGGAGATTCCATCTGAAGATGAGGAAGAACTTCCTGACTGTGAGAGCCGTTCAGCAGTGGAACTCTCTGCCCCGGAGTGTGGTGGAGGCTCCTTCTTTGGAAGCTTTGAAACAGAGGCTGGATGGCCATCTGTCAGGGGTGATTTGAATGCAATATTCCTGCTTCTTGGCAGAATGGGGTTGGACTGGATGGCCCATGAGGTCTCTTCCAACTCTTTGATTCTATGATTCTATTATTCTATGATTCTAATTGCCCAATATAAGGTTCCCCTTGTTGTTTGGCCATTGGATTTGATTCATGAGAGAAACCCCTAAATAGGCTCCTAAACGGACGTTGTTCCAGTGCAATAGGCTACCAACAATGTAGCAGGACTGTGCAAATCCTCAGTGTCATGTTGTTGTTATTGTTATTATATTGATATAAAAACAATATGCAATTTAAGACCTATTATTATATTATTATAAACTTTATTTGTACCCCGCTAGCATCTCCCGAAGGAATCGATGCGGCTTACAAAGGCCAAGGCCTCAAAACACAACATAACAATACAACACCCTAAAGCAAATTAAGAACAATTAAAGCAATATTAAACAACAAGCAATAAAGAATACTCAGTTCTTGTGGGTTTTTTCGGGCTATATGGCCATGTTCTAGAGGCATTTCTCCTGACGTTTCGCCTGCATCTATGGCAAGCATGCTCAGAAACAAATACCTCACTACCTCTGAGGATGCTTGCCATAGATGCAGGCGAAATGTCAGGAGAAAGGCCTCTAGAAACATGGCAATATAGCCCGAAAAAACCCACAAGAACTGAGTGATTCCAGCCATGAAAGCCTTCGACAATACAATAAACAATACATCAAGACACTATAAAACTGAGCCGGGCCAGAGTGAAGGGTACAAGATTAAAAGTGCTGATGTGAGAGGTGATATGTAAGGATTATAGGGTAAGTGCAGTGTGCAGTGTGTGGCAATCTTAGTTCTAATAAAGTGCTTCTGGGACTTGGTATTGGAGATTTCCTATTCTGGAAAGGCACATCGGAACAGCCAGCTCTTCAAGTTCTTTCTAAAGACTGCCAATGTAGGGGCCTGTCTAAGATCTTTTGGGAGGTTGTTCTAGAGTTGGGGCACCACCACAGAAAAGGCCCTGTCTCACGTCCCCACCAAACGTGCCTGTGACGCAGGCGGAATCACAAGCAGGGCCTCTCCGGATGAACGAAGTGAGCGCGTGGGTTCATAAACGGAGATGCGGTCACGCAGGTAGGATGGTCCCAAACCGTTTAGGGCTTTGTAGGTAAGCACCTGCACCTTAAATTGGGCTCGGAAAATAAACGGCAGCCAGTGGAGCTCCTTGAACAGGAGGGTTGACCTCTCTGTAAGGAGCACCAGTTAACATCCTGGCCACTGCCCATTGGACCAGTTGGAATTTCCGAGCAGTTTTCAAGGGCAGCCCCAAGTAGAGCGCATTACAGTAGTCCAATCTAGAGGTGACCAAGGCATGGACCACCCCGGCCAGATCAGCCTTCGCGAGGTACGGTCACAGTTGGCGCACGAGTCTCAATTGTGCAAAAGCCCTCCCGGACACCGCCGACGCCTGAGCCTCAAGCGTGAGTGATGAATCCAGGAGGACTCCCAAACTGCGGACCTGTGGCTTCAGGGGGAGTGTAACCCCGTCCAGCACAGGTTGCCACCCTATACCCCGGTCAGGTTTGCGATCAACCAGGAGGACCTCTGTCTTGTAGGGATTGATCTTCAGCTTGTTCTTCCTCATCCAGATAGACACAACAGCCACAGATAGACACAGCAGACCTCTAATTCTCTAATTTTTTAAAAGCAAGATTTGAAATCCCCCAAATGAATCTGAGTCTTACTCTTATTTCCCCGTTTGCAGCCTGCCAAATTTTCATAGTCCCATCAGCACTGGTTGACACCCCAAGTCCGCCACCACTGGAAATGTCAAGGCAAGTGATCTGGAATCAGAGAAAGAGGAGGAAATATATTTTTTACAAATGACAAGAGTTTATAGTTAACATGCTAAAACTTATCTGCTCACTTTAAATCACATTGTATTAATATTATTATTGGGTTGCTGCAAGTTTTTTGGGCTGTATGGCCATGTTCTAGCATTCTCTCCTGACCTTTTGCCTGCATCTGTGACTAACAGCATCTTCAGAGGTGCCATTGGCAGTGAGGCAGGTGGAGTGTGTGTGTGTATACACACACACACACACACATATGGAATAATGTCCTGGGTGGGAGAAAGAACCCTTGTCTATTGTCTAAAGCAAATGTTAATGTTGCAATTAATGAGCTTGATTAGCACTGAGTAGCCTTGAAGCTGCAAAGTCAGTCAGTGAGGGTAACCTGCATAGAGGTGGCCTGGCTGTTGTTTCCTAGAGGCACCCTCTGTTTGGGAGGTGTTAACTGGCCCTTGATTGCTTCCTGTCTGGAGTTCTCCTGTTTCTGAGTGGTGGTCCTGATTTACTGTCTTGATTCTGGTGTTTTTTAAAAATACTGGCAACAAGATTTGGTTTATTTTCATTATTTTCATTATTTATTTATTATTATTTATTTATTTACTGTATTTGTATACCGCCTTTCTCAGCCTTTCGGGGACTCAAGGCGATTTACAGGCAACAAGTCAATACACATAATATTACTCAGAAATAGGGGAAATCCAGACAGCAAACAACCAAGTACCAGTTTACACCTCCCAAGCAGAGAATGCCTCCAAGCAACAACAGGCAAGCTACCTTTATGAGGATACTCTCACTGATTGACTTTGCAGCTGCAAGGCTACTCAATGCTATTTAAACTTGCTAACTGTAACATTCACAACAGACAAGGGCTCTTTCGCCCACCCTGGACTTTCCACACACACACACACCACTCGCCTCACCTTCAAAAGACCTCTTAAGATACCATTAGCTACAGATGCAGGTGAAACATAATTTATTTACATCATTTATTTACATCACTTATATCCCGCCCATATCAGCCCGCAGGCGACTCAGGGCGGTCTACATATCGGCACAATTCGATGCCATCAATACATACATTCAAAAGCAAAGACAATTAAGTGCATTTAAACAAAAAAGACAGTGCAATAACAGTTTAAAAAGAGCTATATCTTCTCATTCCAATCCTCGTCTGTTTCATCGTCTTGGCCGTTCCTGGGTCATTCTCCATCTCAAGCTTGACTATCTATTCCGGGGTTCCGAATGCTTGCGCGCCAGGTTTTTACTCTCTTCCGAAAAGTCAGGAGGGAGGGGGCTGATCTAATATCCCTAGGCAGGGAGTTCCACCGAGGGGCCACCACTGAGAAGGCCCTGTCCCTTGTCCCCGCCAGACGTGCCTGTGATGCAGGCGGGATCGAGAGCAGGGCCTCCCCAGAAGATCTTAAAGTCCTGGTGGGTTCATAAGCGGAGTTAAGTTCGGATAGGTAACTTGGGCCAGAACCGTTTAGGGTTTTATAGGCCAACGCCAGCACTTTGAATTGAGCCCGGTAGCAAATTGGTATCCAGTGGAGCTGGCGCAGCAGAGGAGTTGTATGCTCCCTGCACTCCGCTCCTGTTAGTATCATGGCTGCCAAACGTTGAACCAATTGAAGCTTCCAGACCGTCTTCAAAGGCAACCCCATGTAGAGAGCGTTGCAGTAGTCTACACGGGATGTAACCAGAGTGTGGACTACCGTGGCCAAGTCAGACTTCCCAAGGTACGGGCGCAGCTGGCGCACATGTTTTAGTTGTGCAAATGCTCCCCTGGTCACTGCCGAAACCTGGGGTTCCAGGCTCAGCGATGAGTCCAGGAGAACTCCCAGGCTGCGAACCTGAGTCTTCAGGGGGAGTGTAACCCCATCCAGCACAGGCTGTAATCCTATACCCTGTTCGGCCTTTCGACTGACCAGGAGTGCCTCTGTCTTGTCTGGATTCAGTTTCAATTTGTTCGCCCTCATCCAGACCATTACAGCGGCAAAGCACCGGTTCAGGACCTGAACAGCCTCCTTAGTAATATAGTAACATAAGGAGAGAATGCTTCTGGAACATGGCCATACAGACCGGAAAACTTGCAGCAACCCAGTGATTATGACCATGAAAGGCTTTGACAACACATCAAGATGAGTCCACAGCAGACACTCTGCTACTCTGCTGGCTGATGTATTGGATCACACGTTGGACACTTCCCAAGTCCCAACACTTCCCAAGACAACACATTATTATTATTATTATTATTATTATTATTATTATTATTATTATTATTGCTATTGTTATTATTAGAACACAACAAGTTCATAGCAGACAAGATCACTCTGGACCCTTTGGACATTATTATTACTATTTTTATTGTTGTTATTGTTGTTATTATTATTATTATTATTTGATACAAAACAAGGTTAGTATACAGCAAAGAAGATCACTATGCTTGTTGTTATATTGGATCACACATTGGACACTTCCCAAGTGTCTAGGACTGTGTGATGTATTGGTGAATAATGCGCGCAGATCCCAGTAAGGTGGCTTTTTGCAGGGGGCAGAAGATGATTTTGTCAGCACCGATAGTGTTTAAGTGCAGGCCAAGGTCTTTAGGCACTGCACCCAGTGTGCCAATCACCACTGGGACCACCTTGACTGGCTTGTGCCAGAGTCTTTGCAGTTTGATCTTTAAATCCTCATATCGTGTCATCTTTTCCAGTTGTTTCTCTTCAATCCTGCTGTTGCCTTTGATTGCAACATTGACAATTCAAACTCTGTTTTTTAGCACGATCATGAAGTCCGGTGTATTGTGCTCCATTATTATTATTATTATTATTATTATTATTATTATTATTATTATTATTATTACATTGTTCTGAATTATTTGAATCCTGCTATTTCTCTCTTTTTAAAAACAATAAAATCAAGACAATAAAATTAAAACCTAAAAATATACAAACACTAAAATAGAATTAAATATTAATGGCACAATACTGTATTAAAAATAAAACAGCTAAAGCCCTTAAACCCAAATAAAAACCTATCCATAGTTGCAAAAAAATCACTTACACTTTTTTGATGGATTCTGCAGAAGGATGTATAAGGTGCGAGGAATCTGGTGGATGCCTTTTCACGAGGACAAGAAACAAGCACACTTTTCTGCAATGAGAAAGAAAGAAAGAAAGAAAGAAAGAAAGAAAGAAAGAAAGAAAGAAAGGAGGAAACAACTTTCTTTTTACTAAAAGTAAGTTATCTATATTAATCTGGCTCCTTCTTTGGAGGCTTTTAAACAGAGGCTGGATGGCCATCTGTCGGGGGTGCTTTCAATGCAATTTTCCTGCTTCTTGGCAGAATGGGGTTGGACTGGATGGCACACGAGGTCTCTTCCAACTCTTGGATTCTAGGATTCTGTGAAGTACACAAAGGATCCCCCTTCTTTGCATGTCGCCTAAGGGCTGAGAAGGGCAGTATACAAAAACAAACAAACAAACAAATAAATAAATTCTATTCATTCCCTGATCACATGGCGTCCCCTACTGTCTCAAATAACATCATGCAAGTGAAAATGTCTGTATGTATTGTCGTATGATCTTACTAATCCCTTCACTCCCACCTTTGATACTCCTTTAGGAGGAAGCGTCATCCTTGTTTGGCAAACATTGAAATATAATAATAATAAAAGCAACAACAACAACTTTGGGTTGTTGTGAGTTTTTCGAGATGTATGGCCATGTTCCATGAGCATTCTCTCCTGACATTTCGCCTGCATCTATGGTAGGCATCCTAAGAGGTTGTGAGGTCTGTTGGAAACTACGATGCCTACCATAGATGCAGACGAAATGTCAGGAGAGAATGCTCATGGAACATAAAATCATAAAATCAAAGAGTTGGAAGAGACCTCATGGGCCATCCAGTCCAGGAATATTGCATTCAAATCACCCCTGACAGATGGCCATCCAGACTCTGCTTAAAAGCTTCCAAAGAAGGAGCCTCCACCACACTCCGGGGCAGAGAGTTCCACTGCTGAACGGCTCTCACAGTCAGGAAGTTCTTCCTCATGTTCAGATGGAATCTCCTCTCTTGTAGTTTGAAGCCATTGTTCCCTTGCGTCCTAGTCTCCAGGGAAGCAGAAAACAAGCTTGCTCCCTCCTCCCTGTGGTTTCCTCTCACATGGCCATACAGCCCAAAAAACTCACAACAATCCAGTGATTCTGGCCATGAAAGCCTTTGACAATACAATGGCTTCAAACTACAAGAAAGGAGATTCCACCTGAACATGAGGAAGAACTTCCGTGTGAGAGCTGTTCAGCAGTGGAACTCTCTGCCCCGGAGTGTGGTGGAGGCTCCTTCTTTGGAAGCTTTGAAACAGAGGCTGGATGGCCATCTGTCAGGGGTGATTTGAATGCAATATTCCTGCTACTTGGTAGCATGAGATTGGACTGGATGGCCCATGAGGTCTCTTCCAACTCGGGATTGGACTGGATGGCCCATGAGGATTCTATGATTCTAATATAATAAAACTTTATTTGTATACCGCCGTATCTCCGCGAAGGGACTCAGGGTGATTTCCAACATATAAGGCAAACATTCAGACATGCAAGTAATGCTCTCCTCTCGTGGTCCTGAGCAATAAAGCAATCCAGAGTATTTTGAAGGAATTTAACAATAATAGGTAAGCAGCACACTAGCACTGTAAGCAATCCCAAGAAGCAGAACAACAGAAAACAGTATTTTATCCATTGGATGCAGGGCAACCAACCCATTATCCAATCCAAAGAGGGAACTTGTCCCTTCAGTATTGTTCTTTTTCATCTTTTGCAAACTTAACAGAGGTACATTGAATTTCAATAAGGTCCTCATACTGCTGCCTGGGAGTCTTGTGGATTCTCCTTCTCTGGAAACTTTTCAACAGAGACTCGATGACCATCTGCCAGGAGAGCTTGGATTCTGTCTTCCTGCCTGGCAGAAAGGGCTTGGACTGGATGACTCGGGGGGGGGGGGGGGGGGGGGGGGCCCGGGGGGGGGGGGAGTGCTGGAGGTGGGTCCCTTCCAACTCTATGCTTCTATAACAGAAGTGAAAGTACCTTTGTTATTTCGCTAACAGTGAAGCCTTCAGAGGCTGTGATTTCAGGAATTCCATCTGAGTTGATTCCCCGACAGGTCAATGTGCCATACAGAGTTGCTTTTCCTAGATCACAATAACACACAAAAAGAGGAAGAGATGAGTGAAGGCCCTTAAACCAACTTTGGATGGGCCTCTTTAAGGAGCACTGTGGCTATTCATTCTTGCATGGCAGAACAGGATTGGACTAGATGTTCCTTGCAGCCCCTTCCAGCTTCTTTGGCGGCTCACCTGGGCTCCTGCAACTCAGCCAAGCCTCTTCCTCGTTCTTCCTACAAAGGCAACAAAAGACCAGTTAGTATAAAGGATCACAATAGGACTCCTAGGGCTAAGGATAAACAAATCTTTGTGACACAATTATTATTATTATTATTATTATTATTATTATTATTATTATTATTATTATCCTGATTTTCTGCCATGGGTGGGATTCAAAGTGGCATACAGAGTTAAAAGCAGCAGAAATTACTAACATAAATTCAACAAAAACAAACAGACTACACAGTTTCTAACCCGTATAAAACAAATTCATAAATTACAACATTTAATATTAAAAATTCCCTGAATCTCAGGCCACTGAGGATATCCATACAAATAGTTGTGCAAAGATCCTAAAACTCTGTATCCAGTGTGCTGATCATCACTAGGATCTCCTTTACTGGTTTGTGCCAGAGTCTTTGCAGTCTGATCTCTAAATCCTCATATTGTGTCAGCTTTTCCAGTTGTTTCTCTGCAATCCTGCTGTCACCTGGGATTGCGACATCGACAATCCATACTTTGTTTTTAACACGATTGTGAGGTCAGTATTGTGCTCCAAAACTCTGATAGTCTGAAATCTCAAATTAGTTTGACGTATATTATTACTAATATTTGAAACACAACAAGATGAGTCCACAGCAGACAAGATCACTCTGCTGACTGTTGTATTGGATCACACGTCGGACCCTTCCCAAGTGTCTAGGACTGTGTGATGTATCGGCGAATAATGCGTGCAGATCTCAGTAAGGAGGCCTTCTGCAGCTGGTGCATGGTAATTTTTTTCAACGCCAATTGTGTTTAAGTGCAGGCCAAGGTCTTGAGGCACTGTGCCCAGTGTGCCAATCACCACTGGGACCATCTTGACTGGCTTGTGCCAGAGTCTTTGCAGTTGGATTTGTAAATCCTCGTATTGTGTCAGCATTTCCAGTTGTTTCTCTTCAATCCCGCTGTCACCTGGGATTGTGACATCAACGATCCATACTTTGTTTTTTAACATGATCGTGAGGTCAGGAGCCTTGTGCTCCAAAACTCTATCTGTCGGAATCCGGAAGTCCCAAAATAGTTTGACGTCTTCATTTTCTGTAGGGGTGATTTGAATGCAATATTCCTGCTTCTTGGCAGGGGGTTGGGCTGGATGGCCCATGAGGTCTCTTCCAACTCTAGGATTCTATGATTCTATGTAACGTTTTCCAGCTTGTGATCCCACCAGTTCTTTGTTGCAGGCAGAAGTTCTTTGTGGCACAATTTATTTATTTATTCATTTATTTATTTACCTTACTTATATACCGCTGTTCTCAGTCCGAAGGCGACTCACAGCGGTTCACAAGACACAGGACACAGCAGAATTCAAACACCAATATAAACAATTAATACCCTAATCTAATACACAATTAATACACAATTACTATGATACCCATTCAATAGCGTCTCGTCACTAAAAAACATGATCCAAATTCGTCATCCATTGTTCCATTCCTATGTCATTACCAGTCTTGCACTAATTATTCAAACGCCTGCACAAATAACCAGGTCTTTACTTTTTTGCGGAAGACCATAAGAGATGGTGCTAATCTAATATCTGTGGGAAGGGCGTTCCACAGCTGGGGGGCCACCACCGAGAAGGCCCTGTCTCTCGTCCCCGCCAGCCGTGCTTGTGAAGCTGGCGGGATCGAGAGCAGGTCCTCCCCGGAAGATCTCAAAGTCCTGGTGGGTTCATAGGCCGAGATGCGGTCGGAAAGGTAGTTTGAGCCGGAACCGTTTAGGGCTTTAAAGGTCAACACCAGCACTTTGAATTGAGCCCGGTAGCAAGTCGGCAGCCAGTGGAGTTGGCGCAACAGGGGGGTTGTGTGCTCCCTGCGCTCCACTCCTGTTAGTATCATGGCTGCTGAGCGTTGGACTAGTTGAAGCTTCCGCGCTGTCTTCAAAGGCAACCCCACCTAAAGAGCGTTGCAGTAATCTAAGCGGGATGTAACCAGAGCGTGGACTACCGTGGTCATCTGAGCAATGGTGTTATGCCTCTGCGTGGAGTCTGTCTGCGCGATCTTCTTTCAGCAGCTGAGGATTATCATTATTATTGAGATAAATATGTATTTATTATTTTATTATTATTTAGATAATAATAATAACCAAATAATAATAATAATATTCTTTGAGACTATGACCTGCTTTTCAAATGGCCCAGGATTATTATAAGGTTTGAGAGCATAAGAGAACATAGCTATCTTCTTAAGCGGGAAATAGGTTCGGGAGCGGTGGCGCCAACTTGGGCACTGAACCGACACTGGACACTGTAGGCGGCTGGTGCCCTTCAAAAGTTATCTTTGTAACAGAGGATCCTTGAGTTATTATAGGCTGGTGCACCTGAAAATTAAATTTGGGTTGAGCATGTTACAGGTGGGAAATTGGTTTGCTTTGCTTCGCTTCGTTCTGAACTAAATAATAATAATAATATCAATAACGGGTTGCTGTGAGTTTTCCGTGCTGTATGGCCATGTTCCGGAAGCATTCTCTCCTGACATTTCGCCCACATTTCTGGCAGGCATCCTCAGAGGTTGTGAGGTTTGATGGAAACTAGGCAAGTGAAGTTTATATATCTGTGGAATATCCAGGGTGGGAGAAAGAACTCTTGTCTGCTTGAGGCAAGTAATATTCTTGTCTGCTTGAACGGTTGGGACCCGTCTATCTGCGTGACCGCATCACTGTATACGAACCCACACAATCCCTGCTCTCGATCCCACCAGCATCGCAGGCACGATTGGTGGGGACGAGAGAGAGAGGGCCTTTTCAGTGGTGGCCCCTCGACTCTGGAATGCACTCCCTAAAGACATCAGACAGGCCCCAACTCTGGCAGTCTTCAGGAGGCGCTTGAAGACGTGGCTGTTCCAGTGTGCCTTCCCGGAATAATGATCCCATAGCACTTTGTCCTCCAAAGCACTTTACATTTCTTTAGGTCTGCTCGTACGCCCTTCCACAAACACCGGTATCACCTTTTGTCCATGTCCCAGCATTATTTCCAATTTTAACTCTACATTTGGCCTTCCCACTGTTTTTAATTGTGAGTTGTCTTATTGAAAATGTTGTGTATTTTATTGTCTGTTTTTTAATTGCTTGTATTGTTGTGTTTGGGCTCGGCCTCATGTAAGCCGTACTGAGTCCCTTGGGGAGATGGTAGCGGGGTATAAATAAAGTGTTATATTATTATTATTATTATTAACCGAGAAAGGAAAACGAATAATAATAAAAAAGAATGTATTGTCGAAGGCTTTCATGGCTGGAATCACTAGGTTCTTGTGGGTTTTTTCGAGCTATAGGGCCATGTTCTAGAGGCATTTCTCCTGATGTTTCGCCTGCATCTATGGCAAGCATCCTCAGAGGTAGTGAGGTCTGTTGGAATTAGAACAATGGGTTTATATATCTGTGGAATGGCTGGGGTGGGGCAAGGAGCTCTTCTCTGCTGGAGCTAGGTGTGAATGTTTCAACTGACCACCTTCATTAGCATTTGAAGGCCTGCCTGAGCCTGGGAAAATCTCTTGCTGGGAGGTGTTAATCTGTGCCTGGTTGTTTCCTCTCTGCTGTTTTGCTGTTGTAATTTTAGAGTTTTTTTAATACTGGTAGCCAGATTTTGTTCATTTTCATGGTCTCTTCCTTTCTATTGAAATTGTTCACATGCTTGTGGATTTCATTGGCTTCTCTGTGTAGTCTGACATGGTGGTTGTGACAATGGTCCAGCATTTCTGTGTTCTCAAATACTATGCTGTGTCCAGGTTGGTTCATCAGGTGCTCTGCTATGGCTGATTTCTCTGGTTGAAGTAGTCTGCAGTGCCTTTCACGTTCCTTGATTCGTGTTTCGGCAATGTTGCTGCGTTTGGTGTTCCCTATGTAGACTTTTCCACAGCTGCATGGTACACACACAGTAGACTCCTGCAGAGGTGAGAGGATCCCTCTTGTCCTTTGCTGAACGTAGCATTTGTTGGATTTTCTTGGTGGGTCTGGAGATGAGTTTGTATGTTGTGTTTCCTCATCAGCTTCCCTATGCGATCAGTGGTTCCCTTGATGTATGGCAGGAACACTTTTCCTCTGGGTGGATCTTCATCTTACTCTCGTGGCTTGTTCTTGGTCTTGCAGCTCTTCTGATGTCTGAGGTGGAGTCTCCATTGGCCTGGAGAGCCCAGTTGAGGTGGTTCAGTTCATCTTGGAGGAGGTGGGCTTCGCAGATTCTTTTTGCACGGTCTTTTTTTTTTTTACTTGGGTGATGGTTGGAGTTTTGATGTAGATATCTATCTGTGTGTGTGGGTTTTCTGTAGACGGTGTGACCCAATTGTTGATCTGGTTTGCGGATGATTAGGACATCTAGAAAAGGCAGTCTTCCTTCATTTTCTTTTTCCATGGTGAATTGGATTTTTGGGTGGATGCTGTTAAGATGGTCCAGGATATCTATTGTGTACGTTTCACTATTGAAGTTACTTAAACTTGTACCTATGTTGAAGCTTATTTAAATAGGACAATTGCTTATTTACATCTGCTTGTAGTCTGTCTGCGCGATCTCCTTGCAGCAGCTGAGGATTATTATTATTATTATTATTGAGATAATAATTTATTTATTATTTTATTATTATTATATTTAGATAATAATAATATTCTTTTAGACTGTGACCTGATTTTGAAATGGCCCAGGATTATTATAAGGTTTGAGACCTTTAAAGAACTGAAAAAGGAAAACGAATAATAATAAAAAAGAAGGGTATAAAAGAGGCCGGAACCTTGTGTCAGGAGCACTCAATTCCGGGGGAAGGATAGAATCGACGCACACAGGGAACATTTTAGGCAGAGCGCCCTCTCAGAGTGCGAGTGGCTTGTGGCCAAGGGGCGTGGCTTACTCTCCTCCTGGCTCACCTCAGGACTTGGTCCCAGTCGCTCTGGATCCGGACCACGGCGGCGGCGGAGGAAAAGCCCTGCGAAGCGGCGCCCGCCATCTTGGTCACGGAAAGCCCCACCCCGGAAGTCGTCCCCGCAGTACTTCCGCTCACGGCTGAGTCTAGAAGAAGGGAAGGTGAGAGCGGCTTCCAGCCAAATCAACATAGAAAAGGGGCTCCTGTCCCTTTAAGGCTTAAAGGGACCGTGGCTCCCAAGCGCTCTTATTCCAGGACTTCATTTCCCAGAAGCCTCAGCTGATGCGGCCAATGAGGAGGTATTCTGGGGGATGAAGTCCAAAAGCCCTGGAGGAGCAAAGCTTGGGAAATAATGCTTTTAAATAGAAATGCTGATCAGTATTTTGTCGAAGGCTTTCATGGCCGGATTTCACTGGGTTGCTGTGAGTTTTTCGGGCTGTCTGGCCATGTTCCAGAAGCATTCTCTCCTGACGTTTCGCCTGCATCTATTGATGCAGGCGAAACGTCAGGAGAGAATGCTTCTGGAACATGGCCAGGCAGCCCGGAAAACTTACAAGCCAATGCTGATCAGATTTGTAGATGGCACAAAATTGGAATGATTATTACTAGTATTATATTGTATTACATTATAATATAAATATTATATGTATATACAATATACCATAAGCTGACAGATAGCTTGAATGTGCCTATATAAGGACAGAGTGAGTGAATGAGAGAATTATTATTATCACACTATGTACAAAATTTGAAAACTTTTTTGTTTCTGGTTTGAAAGTCTTATTTCCTGTTTAGTTGTGTGGCCCTTGCTTTGAAATTAGCAATTCTACTCCAGAAACTTTTTTGAGGTTGAATTGGTTGAGATGCTATGAGATTCATTGAAAAACTACCGCAAAATGTGCTGCTGCAGGATGTCCCTCCCGCAGAAACAAAGTTTTAGCAGTTTGATAAACTTTTTCCCATGTTTTAATGATAGAACCAATTATGAAATTAGGAACAAAAATCGTGTTACAGAGTGTGGTTGGTGATGCTTAATAACTTTTATTGTATCCTCCAGATTCCGTAGTATGTCCGGCACCAAGCCCCCTGGTCACAATTGGAGCCGGAAACCGAAAGAAGAGGAGGAGGAAGGCGAGGATGCTTTTGACAGCATGATTGCCCGCACTGGTTGCGCCTCTTTCCACTATGCGGTGCAGGAGTGTATGGCGGAGCACCAAGACTGGAGGAAATGCCAGCCACAAGTGCAGGGCTTCAAGGAGTGCATGAAGGAGCACCAGAAGAAGCAAGCGGAAGAGTATCGGAGGCGGCGGGAGATGCACCAGGCCCCCGGCTAAAGAGAGGTTCTTTCACAAGGCACCAGAAACATGTGCCTATTTCAAACAGAGACTTGTGGGGCCTAATCCTGGAAAAATGTGCACCCTTTTTCTATCATGCATACTGTTAAACAATATTTGATTCCAAAAAGAGCAATAGGATATATTCTCTTACACAATAAACAAACACGAAAGTAATATTTTCTTGCTTTTCTTTATGCAATACACTAGGCATTGGCAAACTTTGGCCCATCCGGTGTTCTGGACTTCAATCCACAGAGTACCTAACAGCTGTATGTAATTTTGTTGTATATGTTCACTTGATGTAGTTTTGTTGTAAGTTGTAGAGCAGTGGTTCTCAACCTCCCTAACGCCGCGACCCCTTTATATAGTTCCTCATGTTGTGATGACCCCCAACCCTAAAATTATTTTCGTTGCTACTTCATAACTGGAATTCTGCTACTGTTATGAATCGTCATGTAAATATCTGATCGGCGGATGTATTTTCATTCTCTGGACCTTGGGAGTTGTAGTTGCTGGGATTTATAGTTCACCTACAATCAAAGAACATTCTGAACTACACCAGAGATGGAATTGACCCAAACTTGGCACACAGAATGCCCATTACCAGCAAAAAATAATGAAAGGGTTAGGTGAGCATTGGCCTTGAGTTTGGGAGTTGTAGTTCACCTATCTCCAGAAAGCACTGTGGACTCAAACAATGATAGATCTGGACTAAACTTGGCACGAATACTCAATATGCCCAAATATGAACTCTGTTGGGAGTTTGGGGAAAATAGACCTTGACATTTAGGAGTTGTAATTGCTGGGATTTATAGTTTACTTACAATCAGAGAGCATTCTGAACCCCACCAACGATAGAATTGGGCCATACTTCCCACAGAGAACTCCCATGACCAGCAGAAAATACTGTGTATCCTGATGGTCTTTGGCGACCCCTCCAACACCCCATCACGACCCCCCCAGGTTGAGAAACACTGTTGTAGTGGTTAGTTAGCTGCTTAGTTTTAGCTAAATCTAATTATTATCCCATGACCAACAGAAAATACTGGAGAAGTTTGAGGGACATAGACACTTACATTTGGGAGTTGCAGTTGTTTGGAGTTAATAGTTCCCCTGCCATTAAAGAGCATTCTGAACTCCAACTACCATGGAATTGAACCAAACCTGGCATACAGAACTCCCATGACCAACAGAAAATATTGGGGAAAATATAAATACCTTGACATTTGGGAGTTGCAGTTGCTTGGAGCATTCTGGAGGGGCCTGGGTCTGGCGGGGAGGCTCACACCATTGCTGAGCCCAGCAGGCAGTGAGAGCCTGGCAATGGAGGTTCCACCACGTGGCCTAGCCTTTTGAGGAGCCTTCGTCTGGCTCGGGGCCCCACCAGCCGGCAAACGGAGAGAGCCAGGCAAGGGAGGCTTCGCACAAGGCCAGGCCTTGTGTGAAGCCCCCCTTGCCTGGCTCGTGGCCGTGCTGGCTTGGCATGTGGTGAAAGACAGGTGAAGGATACTCCGCACAAGGCCAGGCCTTAGAATCATAGAATCAATGAGTTGGAAGAGACCTCATGGGCATCCAGTCCAACCCCATTCTGCCAAGAAGCAGGAATATTGCATTCAAATCACCCCTGACAGATGGCCATCCAGCCTCTGTTTAAAAGCTTCCAAAGAAGGAGCCCTCACCACACTCCAGGGCAGAGAGTTCCACTGCTGAACGGCTCTCACAGTCATGAAGTTCTTCCTGTGTTCAGATGGAATCTCCTCTCTTGTAGTTTGAAGCCATTGTTCCGCGTCCTAGTCTCCAAGGAAGCAGAAAACAAGCTTGCTCTCTCCTCCCTGTGGCTTCCTCTCACATATTTATACATGGCTATCATATCCCTCCTCTCAGCCTTCTCTTCTTCAGGCTAAACATGCCCAGCTCCTTTAGCCGCTCCTCATAGGGCTTGTTCTCCAGACCCTTGATCATTTTAGTCGCCCTCCTCTGGACACATTCCAGCTCAATATCTCTCTTCAATTGTGGTGCCCAGAATTGGACACAATATTCCAGGTGTGGTCTAACCAAAGCAGAATAGAGGGGTAGCATGACTTCCCTAGATCTAGACACTATGCTCCTCTTGATGCAGGCCAAAATCCCATTGGCTTTTTTTGCCGCCACATCACATTGTTGGCTCATGTTTAACTTGTTGTCCACGAGGACTCCAAGATCTTTTTCACACGTACTGCTCTCGAGCCAGGCCTTGTCCCCCATTCTGTATCTTTGCATTTCGTTTTTTCTGCCAAAGTGGAGTATCTTGCATTTGTCACTGTTGAACTTCATATTGTTAGTTTTGGCCCATCTCTCTAATCTGTCAAGATCGTTTTGAATTCTGCTCCTGTGCCTTGTGTGGAGCCTTCGCCTGGCTCGCACCCCCGTCAGCCAGCAAGCAGCAAAAGCCAGGCAAAGGAGGTGGCCATTTTGAGCAGGTGAAGGGGGTGCGGCCAAAGGGGATGGCTTCGCGACACCTCCTAAATGGCCAAATGACCCCTCTGGTGGTCGTGACCCCCAGGTTGAGAACGGCTCAGCTGTAAATATTAGTAAGTGGGGCAAACTGATGAAGGATTACGAGAGTTGTCCTTCACTCACATTCCTGCACGCTTGTGATGTAGCAGAAAAAAAGCCAATGGGATTTTGGCCTGCATCAAGAGGAGCCTAGTGTCTCGATCCAGGGAAGTCATGCTCCCCATGCTCTATTCCACCTTGGTTAGACCACACCTGGAATATTGTGTCCAATTCTGGGCACCACAATTAGAGAGATATTGACAAGCTGGAATGTGTCCAGAGGAGGGCGACTAAAATGATCAAGGGTCTGGAGAACAAGCCCTATGAGGAGGGCTTAAGGAGCTGGGCATGTTTAGCCTGAAGAAGAGAAGGCTGAGAGGAGATATGATAGCCATGTATAAATATGTGAGAGGAAGCCACAGGGAGGAGGAGGGAGCAAGCTTGTTTTCTGCTTCCCTGGAGACTAGGACAAAATGGAACAATGGCTTCAAACTACAAGAGAGGAGATTCCATCTGAACATGAGGAAGAACTTCCTGATGTGAGAGCCATTCAGTAGTGGAACTCTCTGCCCCGGAGTGTGGTGGGAGGCTCCTTCTTTGGAAGCTTTTAAACAGAGGCTGGATGGCCATCTGTCAGGGGTGATTTGAATGCAATATTCCTGCTTCTTGGCAGAATGGGGTTGGACTGGATGGCCCATGAGGTCTCTTCCAACTCTTTGATGCTATGATTCCAATCGGTCCATTCATAAAAGCCAAATAATGACCAGTTCTAAAGTTTATCCTTACAAAAGACCTAACCTGGGCATCGCCAGGTACATAAGCTAGTATATTATAAAAATAGCCTTTTTGTACTATTTCTACCTTTTTACCCTGGTTTCTTTATTTCTGAATAAAAATTAGTGGCAAAGGAAAAATGTAAGGCAATCTGCCAGAGGAAGCCGAACGCTGCTGCTGGACAGACATTTACTGCAGCAAGCTCAGTTCATTTGGGCAAGCAGCTCTTCCAACTCTGGCCGGGCTTTGAGTCGGCTCCTGAAGTCTTCCTCTGTGTGCTGTGGAAGAAAGAAAGAGAGCAGAACATTAAGGACAGGCCTCTGAGGACATCCAGTGACCAATGGAGAATGGGCTCACAGATTCCTAAAAGCATATACAGCAGCTATGGGCAAACTTTGTCCCTCCAGGTGTTTCGGACTTCAACTCCCACAATTCCTAACAGTCGATAGGCACAACCTGGGGATCACAACCAGATACAGTGAAAACATTTGTATTCGCTTGTGTATTTGATCGCAAGTGTCTAGGACTGTGTAATATATCGATGAATAATACGTGCAGATCTGAGCAAGGTGGCCTTTTGCAGCTGGCAGGTGGTAATTTTGTCAGTACTGATTGTTTTTAAGTGCAGGCCAAGGTCTTTAGACACTGCACCCAGTGTGCCGATCACCATTGGGACCACCTTGATTGGCTTGTGCCAGATTCTTTGCAGTTCGATCTTTAAATCCTCATATTGTGTTGTTGTTGTTATTTACTATACGTCACTTTATCTCCCCAAAAGGGACTCAAATTGGCTACTTTGAAAAATAATTTTGGACTACAACTTCCATCACTCCCCAGCCAGCATGGGCAGTGGAGCATTCTGCAATTCAAAGTCTATAAAAGATCTCTGCAAATGCATACAGATGCAGAATACATTCAAGCCTAAGTAGTAGAATGGAACCGTCATACAATTGCTGCTTCTATGCTTTTTTTTCCCTGTTCAGCAAACGCTCCGTTCCCAAAGCTCTGCTGAGGTTCTGCTTCACAGGGCAGTCCAGGATTTATGCGAAGAAGGGATACCTGAGGGGGCATAAATTACACACAGAGAGAAAGGAAGGGCAAGTCGCGAAGCATCTGAGGCTGCTTAGGAAACAAGAAATGCCTTCCCAAGCAAAAAAATCTAGCCAGCAAAATCCCAAAGAAGCAATTTCTTGAAGAGTGGGGTGAATACATTACAAAAATGCTGCCCTCGCAGACGCTTTTCCTGAGGGAAACCCATTGAAACCAGTAACAGTTGCTCAGGATTAGTCCCCTTGCAATGTGAGCTCCACGGCACCAAAGACTTCCAGACATTGCCATTTGAGCTGCACAGAAAGGAGAATTTGTGCAGAAAAGAGGACCATTTTCTTCCTTAGATCCTCTTCCCAGGCAGCACTTACGAGATGGCAAGCAAAAGCATAACCTTGGTCAGATGCTGCTGTTGGTGACCCAGAGTTGCTAGTTATCCTCTCTTGGTCTCTCCTGCCTGACATAGAAATTTGTCTAGTCCTTCTAGACTTTTCTGCAAGTTTGCTCCTATCTATCCATCCATCCATCCATCTGCCCATTAATCCGTCCGTCCGTCCGTCCATCTATTGATCCATTCATCTATCCATCAATGCATCTATCTATCTATCTATCTATCTATCTATCTATCTATCTATCTATCTATCTATCTATCTATCTATCATCTATCTATCTATCTATCTATCTATCTATCTATCATCCTATCTACTCTATCTCGTTCTCTCCTACTATCATAAATCTGTCAATGCCATCCGATTGATCGCATCATTGCTCTTATCGCATGGTTCCATCTGGCATTTCTCATTGCATATCTGAC